ATTTCTAATTTCAACAAAGTATTTTTAATTTCAACCAAGTATTTCTAATTCAAACAAAGTATTTCTAATTTCAACAAAGTATTTCTAATTTCAACAAAGTATTTCTAATTTCAACAAAGTATTTCTAATTCAAACAAAGTATTTCTAATTCAAACAAAGTATTTCTAATTCCAACAAAGTATTTCTAATTTCAACAAAGTATTTTTAATTTCAACAAAGTATTTCTAATTCAAACAAAGTATTTCTAATTCCAACAAAGTATTTCTAATTCCAACAAAGTATTTCTAATTTCAACAAAGTATTTCTAATTTCAACAAAGTATTTCTAATTCAAACAAAGTATTTCTAATTCAAACAAAGTATTTCTAATTCCAACAAAGTATTTTTAATTTCAACAAAGTATTTTTAATTTCAACAAAGTATTTCTAATTCAAACAAAGTATTTCTAATTTCAACAAAGTATTTCTAATTCAAACAAAGTATTTTATGCCTAGTATAAGGCACGCCGTGGTCGTTGGACGAGGTGGTACGTGTTTGCTAACGCCCTGTTCTTTGCTTGAAAGCGTTGTGTCCCGATCTATTGCAAAGCTCACTTCTAACAAACAAGCCTTACATTTATGTTCGACAACCCAGCCGATGGCCCCGCCTACACTGCGTGGTTACTATAGTTACTACCCTCGTTACTAACTGTAATGGAAACGCAGCTTAAAGTGAGCCGAACCGAGCCATGGCGAGCCGCACTAAAACCTGTAGTCAAAATGCGGATAGATAGTAGTAATAATACATGACACTTATACAGGGTATATGAAGGAGTCCTGAAGTCAGGTGGAAGACCTTTTAAGACCCTTCCCATACATTTTAAGACCTCATCGCCACTTTGAGTTCTAACCGGTTACCTTGGCGACACACTTCACCTCACATTGACTATATACAGTATTGATTGTCCTTCCTCCTTATCTTCCAACCATTTGGACGCAGACTTGCATTTCCCCATAACGATGTTGTTTAACAACCGGCGTAAACGGACCTGCGCGCTATCAAGCAGTGAGCGTGCGATGTCCTGTTCAGATGACGTCAAACCCAACGGGATGCCATCAATAAACTACATAATCACACTACACACCTACGCAATGATTACATTCAGGCAGACTGTGGAATACAACCTCTCTGGATACTTTATATACTTATTGGAAACAAGCTACAAAATGTAACACCTTGGAAAATGCCGTTTAATACTTTTTAATAGCCTTCATTTTCGCTAAATTGATTTATCAACTTTTAATACTTTTTAAGACCCCGCGGACCCCCTGTCATATAGCGCTTTTATAAAAACTCCAAGGCAAGGCACCTTTCAACACAAGACAATTCAAAGTGCTTTACGAAAGACATTAAGACAACAATATTATCTTTGCTTTTTAATGACTGTTTTGAAATGCCATTTTCTGAATGTCTTTCATTTTGGTGAAGCACTTTGAATTATGTTGAAAGGTGCTGTATAAAGAAACGTGCCTTGCCTTTGGGCGTTAAGAAACATATTATAAATGGCATTTAAAAACACTCATTTAAAAGCAAAGATAATGAAACATGAACAACAAAGGAACATGAATTAAAGTCGCAGTGCAGAGTGAGATACACATCTGAAATGTTGAGCTCTGACTCTCAATCATTGCTCACTTTTTAGCAGAGATAGTTTTCTATGATCTCTCTTAACTTATTTCAAGTGTTTCTAAACCAAACCCCCAATTCTGAAAATTCAACAGATCCTGGTCATATTTGTGTAGCATATACAATTAATTTGCTTTAACACAAATCATTAAAATAAGACGTTCAGCCTGTATTTTTCTGCCTTTAAATGGGCGCTAATTAAAACTGAAGTCGATGTTTTACACAGTATTTGGTTAACCGTTACGATGAGCTGACTGTTCAGATTCAATCACAGACGGATGCAGTGTGACATTATGATTAGAGTCGCCATTTATTAAATCTTCAAAGGATTCATTTGGTTAGTGACAGCTGTCATTAAATCACTGTGCAGCTGTAGGAGGGGAGGAAAGCCTCAGAGAAGAGGTAGGCCTATGTCTAAAGCAGTGTTTCTCAAACGTTGTCATACCAAGGACCACTTAACCAATAAAAAAACACTTAACTCCACAAATATCCAAAAACACATCGTTTTTCTAGAACAGATTACAAATCGCCTGAAAATGATACAAACAAGTGGCAACATGTGTGACGAAGGTGTTGCGCTGGGCTATATCATGCAATCGAAAGTTAAACTTAAGCTCGCTCCATTGCGGAGATATTTCCGTGAGAGTGCGGAAAACTTAAATTTATTTATTTATTTCAAATGTGAAATGTTACCAATATACTCAGGGACCACTAGGGGGCGCTCACGGACCACACTTTGAGAAATCTGATTTGCAAAATAACTGTACCAGATATTTCCATACAACTACTGGTTGGTGTTCAATAGCACCTAGACATTTCAGTAATGGCATATTTTTCAGGGTTTTTCTGATTAATGAGAGAAAATGTTCCGATCACCAAAAAGTACAATTTCCGTCTAAAGCCCCGGACACACCAAGCCGATTTCGGCCGTCGATAGATGTCTGGCCGTCGATGAGCGTCGTGTCGCCCGACTTAGATACTCAGATTGGTGTGTCCCGCACCGCCGTGTCTTTTCGACATGTTGAATCGGTGGGCAGTCGGCCAAAGGCTGTCGGTCAAAGAAATCACTCTGATTGGCTGTTCAGCTAGCGAATCAGGGCATGAGAAGCTAAACGGAAGTGAGGGACCCAAACAAGCGATTAAGAAGGCACACACAGACGGATATTCTTTTTCATTTTCATCCCAGCTGGACGCAAGAGTTTCTTTTTCATCATAGCGATCTGGAATGAAGAAAACGAAGACCAACGCACACGCTATTTGTTGTTTGTTTATATCTTCCGGTTGTTGCCTCGAATGACGAATACACACTACCGCCCCCTGCTGGTAAGGAGAGGTATTGCCACTCACGCATGCGCAGTTCGTACGTGCTACCTGGCCGGCGACTGAAGTCTTTGTTCCGTCGGGACGTGTTCTTTGGTGTCAGATCTGGGCCTTAATCTAAAGCGAAGTCTACAGGACTATAATTCAGTATTTCTTTAGTTAAATAATTGTCTGACTATTTGGTGATTTAGGACAGCTGCCTGGTTCATGCCTGTAAGGTTTCAGCGTTAGAGTTCTGTTAGTTTATTGTTTTGTGTTTATTCTTGTGGCCTTGCATTTTATTTTGATGTTGACACTGTCCTCTCTTTTCAGGTGTCTACACTTCCTGTCGTTGTGTGTCACCTGCCAGCTTGATTGTGGTCTCCTGCTCTTGATTGTTTTCACCTGTGCCTCATTAACCGTTGTGTGTATATGTAGCCCTGTTCTCCTTTTGTCTTTTGTCGGTTGTCTCAACACTAAGTCCATGTCTGTACTTCCTCGTGTAACTTTGAGCAACCTAGTTGAACCTAGTGAACTATTGAGTGTCCTAGTTGATCCTAAATACCTTTTGACTTTGAGAAGTCTTTTGTATTATTAGTCGAACCTAGTGAACTATTGAGTGTCCTTGTTGATCCTAAATACCTTTTTACTTTGAGAAGTCTTTTGTATTATTAGTTGAACCTAGCGAACTTTTGAGTGTCCTAGTTGATCCTAAATACCTTTTTACTTTGAGAAGTCTTTTGTATTATTAGTCGAACCTAGCGAACTTTTGAGTGTCCTAGTTGATCCTAAATACCTTTTGACTTTGAGAAGTCTTTTGTATTATTAGTTGAACCTAGCGAACTTTTGAGTGTCCTAGTTGATCCTAAATACCTTTTGACTTTGAGAAGTCTTTTGTATTATTAGTTGAACCTAGCGAACTTTTGAGTGTCCTAGTTGATCCTAAATACCTTTTGACTTTGAGAAGTCTTTTGTATTATTAGTTGAACCTAGCGAACTTTTGAGTGTCCTAGTTGATCCTAAATACCTTTTTACTTTGAGAAGTCTTTTGTATATTAAAAGATATTTTTGAAGTCAAGAAAGAATCGTGCATCTGAGTTCTTGTGAGTCCTTCGTGTCAATGCCTCAGCCAATCTGAAGAGGAAAAGAGTGGTCATTCTCAAGTTATGGGCTTTTGGTCCCCACATTCGGGCTGGACTAATGTGGCTCTTTTTCAGGGATTGGGGAAGTTCTAAAGAACCCAAAAAACATTCGGTCTCACAAAATCTAATTTGTCAACAATCAATTTCATTAATGGGAGATCCTAAAGATATGAATAATCATTGTTGTGCTTTGTTCTACCTCGGGTAGGGGTCTCTCGACATCCGAGGGCCCTTGACCGTTGTGAACAGCTAAATGACTCCATGTCAAGTGTCTTTTCTTGGACTTTTATATCAAATTCAAAGAAGACAGGTAACGTTTTAGATTTGCTCTCACTAGGTAGCAATTAAAGTTTCTTTCTTGGACCTGAAGATGTTGAACTTGTTTGTTTGTTTACTCGTTCTTGTTGTTATTTGTAACAGAATCAGGCTTTAATTTGTCGCTTTACAATCAGACGTCTCGATGTTTCAGAGCAAAGTTCACTCAGGAATAATTCAACAGACAGTCGTGACTGCAGTTCATATGACAGCTTCTCTGTGAGTGTGTGTGTGTGTGTGTGTGTGTGTGTGTGAGTGTGTGTGTGTGTGTGTGTGTGTGAGTGTGTGAGTGTGTGTGTGTGTGTGTGTGTGTGTGTGTGTGTGTGTGTCAGCTCGATGTAAAAACTGCAAACGTCCCGATGTGTTTGACAGCAGCTTTTAGGATGAAGTGAAGAAGCTGCGGTGTGTTTACTGTCATCGCAGGGAAACGTACATTTGAACGTCGAAAAAGTTTAGCCCCTGCTGGTGCATCAAACTAAGGGTTTAACTCCCACACACACACACTCTACAGTCAGTGTGTGTGTGTGTGTGTGTGTGTGTGTGTGTGTGTGTGTGTGTGTGTTCTGGCGTCATGTCTTACCTGTTGAGGTGTGTGATGATGAACTTGAACACCTGGTAGTTGACAGAAGGAAACTTCTTCACGATCTCATGAAGAACTTGCAGACGCTCGATGTAGTCCACGATTTCTGACAC